AAGGCGTGTGAGTTGCCACTCTCTCTCGCGTGTGCAGCGCGTGGCTACCAGTGTAGCCACTTATGGTGGCACGTGGAGGAACTCGAGGTCCCTCTTTAGATTTCTTGACGTGCTGTACGCGAATCGGCTGTCCGTTTTCCGAAATTCAATTGTTTTAAAATAGTTTCGTTATTAGCCATACTTTGTATGAAAACGCATTTATACGTTAGTACGTTACGTATTTAGATAAATGGTTTCATTTCTAAGCGAAACGCATCGCAATGACTCTCGATGCTACGAGGTGGGTTCGACTTGACAACATGATTTATGAGTGGGTTTTTTCTTTGATATATATATATATATATATATCAGTATAGTTTCCATATATACACATCTAATAATGAATTTCCTATATGAATGCCGTAGTTAAATTAATATTTATCGAAAATGACGTAACAAAGAGAATTAGGAAATCATTATGAATCTTACGGGATGCCTTAGCTAAATTTACGGATATGAATAATATTATGATGACCAGAATTATCGAATCATTATGGCATGACTACATTTATGTCATTTGCTCATTGTTTACTGTACCGATGTTAGTACTCACCCGGGCTAGGGTCAGGCTTTCACGTGTATGTGCACATTGCACCGTACGCTCACTTTGGATCCATTGTATGTGCCAGCCTTATCGTAAGGGTTGTAATAGGCAACTTTGACTCGTATGTGCTGCGCATAGCGCCAGTCTTCACGTGATTGTAGTACTAGAGCGTATACCATTGTTACACTTAATCATGTTCATGTCAGAATACCTCTACATGAACTCATGTGTCAACATGTGTCAATGAGCACTTGATATGAGATGTTTGCTTATGCGAGATTATGTTGATTACAGACGTCATGCATTTATTTATGAAATATTGTGCCGTATTTAATTCTTGAGTTATTGCAGGTTACAGTAAATACTTTCTTACTATACGTGGTATGTATATTTTGGAAACTATACTTATTTTACGGCTAGGGGTTATTATGTTTTCGAAAAGGTTTTTACAAAACTTTATTTTTAGGCTCACTCACCCTTATTTTTCGTCTCTTTAGGTTTTTAGTAGCTAAGCTTTCGTATCAACGAGGATTTTTGGCAAATCTTGGTATTGGAGATTACCTTCAATGGTATAATTCGCATCCTACCTTATTGTACTTTACTTATGCTCTGACATCACATGTGAAATGGGTTTATTTCCGCTCACAGCACACTCTTAAAATTAGGCACTTTTAGGTTTAAATTTATTCACTTTTTCCACATCACTACACCTTATGGCTTCGTCATCCTCCTGGTGTCGGACAGCACAGCTCGATTCGGAGTCATAGTGGACACTCCGGGTTGGGGTGTGTCAATTTACCAATTGGTGCTAGGTAAATTCTTGTGTTGTACGTGAAAATCAAATTATTTCAGAGGGCAAACTGGGGATTTGCTTCTTTCAACGGATGAGATTGAGATAAGAAAATCTAATCTAATGAACGATTCATAAGTGATGAAATTTAACTTTGTCACAGTTTGAACTTTTTAGGTTGAAAGGTTCATAAAAAAAAAAAAAATTTAAGATATCATGTCCAAAAATTAACTTAAGAAAAGCTAACACAACAAAAAAATTATCGATTAATCTAATTACTACATATATATATATGTATATATAGCCCGAAAGAAATAGCCCCTCATTGGGAGATATTATTTAATAAAGCCCAAAGATTCCTCAGAGTTTTAAAATGGGCTATATCCATCACTTTTCTAGCCCTATATAGAGCCCTTCACTAGGAATGCTCTTAAAACCCACTAATGATGATTATGCTTGAACCTGTGTATTTGTGTAATACCTTCACTATTAATGAGAACTCCTCTACTCTATGGACATAGCCAAACTTAGGGTAAACCACGTACATCTTGTGTTTGCTTTCTTATCTTTATCTCTTTACACATCATCATTACTAAGTGACCGGAGCAACCAAATGAAGGTCATTAACTTGACACTTTACGTTGTTCCAAAATTTTCACTGATTTTGTGCATCAACTGTCACATCCCTGCCAGGGCCCCCGCCACATCCTGGGCTCAACTCCACCGTAGCACTATATTGTCCGTTTTGGGCCCCCGATCATGCCCTCATGGTTTTATTTCTGGGAACTCATGAGCAACTTCCCAATGGGTCACCCATCTTGGGATTGCTCCAGCCCAATCTCGCTTAACTTGTGAGTTCTTATGAAATCCGAAGCCAATGAGCTCCTAAAAGGCCTCGTGCTAGGTGGAGATGAGAATATACATATAAGGCTTACATGATCCTCACCCCTGGGCGATGTGGGATCTTACAATCCACCACCCTTAGGGGCCCGATGTCCTTGTCAGCACACATCCGGCCAGGGATTGGCTTTGATACCAAATTGTCACATCTCAGCCCGGGCCCCCACCACATCCCGGGCTCGACTCCACCGTAGCATGATATTATTCGCTTTGGGCCCTGACCACGCCCTCACGGTTTTGTTTATGGGAACTCACGAGCAACTTCCCAATGGGTCACCCATCTTGGGATTGCTTTAATCCAATCTCGCTTAACTTCAAAGTTCCTATGGAATCCGAAGCCAGTGAACTCCCAAAAGGTCTCGTGCTAAGTAGAGATGAGAATATACATATAAGGCTTACAGGATTCTCACCCTTGGGCGATGTGGGATCTTACATTAACAGAGAGTTATACTAATATATTAAGATTATATGTGAACTCAATATATTAAACTCATGAGTTTAATATATCAAACTCATGAATGTGATATATTTATAAAGTAGTAGGTTCTAAAGTATGACTCTCACAATTATTAGACTAGAACGTCACCTAATATAGCTTTCCATTTTTGTAAGATACAAATAAATGTTTAATCCCAAGGCCGGACCTTAGGGTAGCAGAAATAGGCGCCCGCCTAAGGCCCCCACTTTCCGGTGGGGGTGGGGGCTAACTTTTTTAAATATGTATAGATAAATTTTACAATTAAAATTCAATAAAAATATCAAAAAAATAAAATCATAGCAATTGAAAAATAAGTGGTTGAACAATTTGATTATGTAAACTTAATTAGTACATTTGTGTCTAAAAACACAAAAATTGTAATATTTAATTAATGTTTGCATATGCTACTTAGTACTATGGTCTAGCGGTATTCCTCTTCACTTGTAAGTGAGAGGTCATAGGTTCAATTCTCGCCAAAGGTGAATTTGAATAACATTATTGCTAGCCGATTGTGAGGCTAAGACCATTCCCCTCCCCCTTACTGTAGATAATATCATTTGTTAAAAAAAAAATTGATTAATGTTTGTATATGTTTCTTCTTTTGATATTAGTTTTAATGATATTTGATGTAGAAATAGATTTTTTTTTATTTAGCGATTTTTCTTACACATAACAATATACAGAAGATTGAGGGCCAGAGAACTCTAGGGCCCCACTTCGAAGGCTCGCCTACGGCCCCCAAATTCTTAGGATCGACCCTGTTTAATCCTTAATCCCAATCACCTATTATTATGAATTTTTTCTTCCATTACGAAAAGTTTATATTGGATTAATTTGGATAAGTTAATTTTAGACAAATCTTGAAATTTAAACTAATTTAATGGCTATCAGTTGGGGGTGGGCATTATCATTACTTTAGGGAGGTGAGCAACATGCATTAAAAAATAAATGCAAAAATTAAGTTTAATTAAATAATGATTATATTAAATACATGTAAGTATTGTAAATAATCCCTTGATGGGAAACCACGTAAATGTTAGGTTAAACCACAATATACTGGGCCTCAACCCAAAGGACTCTTGTTTTTAACCTTCTTCTTTAGGTCTAGAAGAAAGACTTATACGGCATGAATACACTGTTATAGTGTTGTCTCGTGTAATGAAATAAAGACGTATAAATTTTTTATCCTTATTTCACTGTTAGAAGACGTCTTGTAGTGATATGTTCGTGACACGTAAATTACTCAAATCCGAATTCTCATCGGATCCTCTTTGTAAGGATTATGGAAATCTATAAATCATATCTATTCATCGTATATCGTGCGATCAAAAATCATTTTAAATATTTTTATTTAAAATTAAATACAAACAGTACCTGACAAAAACTTATCGCACGATGTACGATGAATGAACACGATTTATAAATCTCCAGAATCCTCACCAAAAGGATTCGGAGAATATTCTATTGGAAATTACTCTGCTAGGTCTAAAGCGTTCATATGGTATGTGTGCTGACTTTGGCATGTGAATCATGTAAAAGAATCCGGATCCTCTTTATAAGGATTCTAGAGATCTGTGAATCATGTTCATTCATCGTATATCGTGTAGTCAGTTTTTATCAAATGTTATTTGTGTTCAATTTTAAATAATAAAATTTAAAATAATTTCTAACCACATAATGTAAAATGAAGGAACGAGATAGGTGGATCTCTGGATGCCATCTAAAATCACGCTTTCCCATGATGCAATATCTCGGCATTTTTTAATAACAATTGACTTTTCTCTCAATTATGTATATGTCTGTCTGTATACAGACAAAATCGCCCATAACACGTAAAACACAATTATTTAGCGAGTTACACGCTGCTAACTACTCGTTTGAGTGAAATGAACTCTACTTATTTTTCATGGTTTAATTGATCTAATGATAATAATTAGGGTTATGAGCAAAAATATAAAAGATTTTTTAATGTAATCAGAATAAAGGATACATGTCATATTATTATACAAGTGGAAAAACATTAAAAAAAAACAAACTTTTCTTTTACTTATATAATAACATACGACGTATTGATTCGTGTTCCAAACACATTAAAAAATTTAAAAAACTAACAAAAATGGATTGAAAATTTTGAGTTTTAATCAAAAGGATAAAAAAGTGTTGTAATCATGGCATTGTCAAAAAAGACTCAAACTTTTTAATTTTTTTTTTATTAATTAATTAGCATCACCCAACGACATACTGACTTCATCTAGAAACCCAAATCAAAATCTCTGAATTCTAGCACATTACAGCATGCCTAACCTACAATGACATAACTTCACACTTTTCCGGTGATAATATATAATACTGATCACACTCAGCCACAGAGCTTCCTTTAGAGCAAGGCAATTGGTTGCAAAAATGGAGGCAATGAACAAGTGGGAGGAGGAGACAGAGGAAGCAGCAGCTGAAGGCATGGCTCTGAGAAGAAAGCTGCCTCGCCAGCACAGCAACACAGCAAATCTCACCACCACTGTCTCCAACGGTGACTTTATCTTTTCTTCCTCTGAGAGTTCATTAGCTTCTACTGAAGCTGACGAGGCTGAGGAAGTTAAGGAAACCCCAAGAAATGGAACTTCCATCTCTCTTAAAAATGGAGGTAAGGAAAGTAAGAACACTTCTTGGTATTAAAGTTTTTTCTTTTTGCTATTGGGTTTTGTGATTTCAGATCTTTGTTTGATTTTTATCAGCTTTTGAATTGAACCCAGATCGGGTTTTTTGTTACTTCATTAGTTTGTGCATCAAGAACTACATTTAATTATGTATCATGATTAAAGTTCTGGTTTTTGGAGGTTTTTTTATTGCAGTTTCAGTAGTAATTACTTGTTGTTTTGTTTGTTTTACACCCCTTTTTTAATGTTTCATTAGCTGGGAAGAATCAGATGGGTTCAAGGTAATTGACTAATTAATTTACTAAGAGTAATTTTCAACTGGGACTTTAATCTAGCTGTTGGTGGACATGGAAATTCATGCCAAATAGGGTATGTATATCTGCATTATTGTGTTTGGCCAAGCTCAATGGTTTTGTGATGATATGTTTCAATTCTCTGCATTGTTTCAGGTACTGAATCCCCATACGAGATCTCTGGTTTCAACGGCGGACATGTCGATTTTTCTTTCAGGAAAAACCCTGGAGATGAAATACTGGATGTCAAGCTAACCTTTGATAAGAGTGCTGTTGGTGTTACTAATCGCGAAGATGGTGGTGATATAAAGATTGAGGAAGAGTTCAATGGTTTTGGTACTTTATCCTCCAAGAAGTCAGTTGGGCAGAAGGGTGAAGAGTTGAATGGTTTTGCTTCTATCAACAGTGGGACGAACGAAAATAGGAGAGTTAAGCTAAGAGAAATCAGTGAACAAGAAGCGTCTGAATTGTATCTAGAAGGGTATATCAGAAGCCGGCCGCGCATGATTTCTATTGTCCTAATTGCAATTCTTGCATCACAAAGGTTATCATTCGTGGTAGAGAGCCGGAAAATACACTACTTCCAGCTGCACCACCTCCTCCGCCAGTTGATCCAATTCGATGCACTTCGTGCTTCAGTTTCCTTATTCCTGCAGGTACTTTTGCATCCTTACTGTATTAACAACTTTTCTTTTTATTGCATTTGATGCTAGAACAGATTTGACAGAATTTAGGGCAAGGAATTCAATTGCCTATAACTATTGCCAGTAAATGAAAGAAGAATATCTTTGATGTGAAGGAATATAAAAATTGTAATATATCTAGAACATGGTATTGCTATTAAAATTCCAGAACCTGAATCTTTCCTCTTGTGATGTTTTTGTTTGCCAATTAGGCATTTTGTGGTGTGACATTTTCTGTTTTGAATCCTTGGCTGATAGTTTAACCATTCTTTCAATGTAACAGGCAGCTGGTTCTTTCCCAAATTGGTACATAAAGATGAGGACGATCATACAGAACGAGGTAAACTTCTCCTACTGGTGTTTTGATAAATTTAGGCGTACTTTGCATACACAAAACAGAGATGCTATTTTCTCCCACAGTTTTACACGATAAAACTTTTGAGCTGTCATTAAAATATGAATCAGCAGATTTCAAGTTTCTTGTTATCAAGTAGCCTAACCTCTTACTTGATTTGCTGATGCAGAAACCAATACTGGAAACAATGTTGAAGTTGGAGAGTTGGTTCCAATTCCATCACATGACTCGGCTGGAACACCACAAGATCAAAATATACAAACTGCACCAGTAAGTAAAGGTCCAGCGCCTAAAGATCCTGTTGGAGCTACTATACCTGCAATAGTTGAACCCTCAAAAGATAATATTCAGATCAGTGTTGGAGTCGAAGTTCCAGTTCCATCATACAGCTTGAATGAAACGCAATATGATAAAAGTCCCACAATGCCTGCTCAGCCAAATGGAGTTAGTGATGCTGCCTCGATGGATAAACCTGCAGTAACCGGTGAGTCTGTTGAAGCTAGTGTTGGAGTTGCTGCAACAACTAAACCCTCCAAAAATAATTTTGAGAGCAGTGTCGAAGTTGGCGAATCAGTTACTTCACATGAGTGGAATGGAACAGTACATAATAAAAAACCTTCAGTTCCTGTTCTGCCAATTGGAGTTGGTGTACTTGTGACCACCAAGCCCCCACCATCTGAAATAGATGTTGCAGCCATTCCGCGAGACCCCACACAAATTCAAGCAAATGATGCAGGTATGTACAAGACAGTGTCATACATGAGAAATTATTAACATGAAATCACTTTTAGAAAGTGGAAGTATCGAGTGCTATAGCAATGCAAAACCTTCTAATGCAAATTTACATGTGTTGATGCAGGGCCAACTACATCTGAGCTTCCTGAGAGTACGATGGTCGTTATTTGTCCAGAACCACCATTGATACCTGAAACAGGGGAAACAGGTGATACCAAAACGTTAGAAATCATCAAAAGCATTGTATACGGTGGTTTAACTGAAGCAATTACAAGCTTAGGCATCGTGACATCTGCAGCCAGTGCTGATACTGCAACACGTATGTTGCTTCTATTTTAGTTGATTTAATTTTGAACTGCCTGAGAGTCTTTATATACGAGCTAATTGGATCTAGTTTTTGTATCTTATTACATTTTCATTCCTGTAGTTGAAACTAACAGATTTAATTTTTCACTTGCGCCCCTTGATCATCATCATGTTTAGGTTTGTAACTATCTTCTTTTTGCAGTGAACATTCTAGCTTTGGCATTGGCAAACTTACTTGGCGGACTTTTCATCGTTGGTCATAATGTGAGTAAAAGACTCGGAGCTTCAGTTTAAAAATTCACTCACTCTTCCCCTCATTTGCACTGTATTTTGTTTCTTGATGTTTTCTGATCCGCAACAAATATTACAGCTGTGGGAACTGAAAGATGATCATTCAAAAGTCCCCTCCGGTCAGACAGATGAGCAAGTGGAGAGATACCAAAAAGTACTAGGGAAAAGAGAGAATTTCCCTCTTCATGCCTCTGTTGCTGTATTATCATTCATCGTTTTCGGGTTAATACCTCCTGTGGTTTATGGCTTCTCATTCCGCCAGAGCAACAACAGGGACCTAAAGGTTGCAGCAGTTGCAGTAGCTTCTTTTCTATGCATCATAGTTCTCGCAATTGGAAAGGCTTACATCCAGAGGCCACCAAAGTACATCAAAACTTTACTCTACTATTTTACTATTGCGATTGCGGTGGGAGGTGTTTCTTACTTAGCAGGTGACCTGATTAACAAACTCGTAGAGAAGCTTGGCTGGTTCTCCTCAACTGTATCCGGCTCTCTGCCGCTTCCTCAGATGAGTATAGCGAAGCCTGCACTGGAATCCTATTGATACAATGCGGCCTCAACAAGAGATTTTTTGTAGTTTTTCCTTGGAGCATTGTCCTAGCGCGGCAACAATTATCATCGGCATTTAGTTTTCTAAATAAATTGGTTGAATTTTTTCCCCCAGCTGTTCTTTAGCAATATTGCTTATAGCTTGGGGAGTCCTAATTTCTGATCAAAGCCAATGTACTGAATAAAATCGTTAACGTTACGCAGTTTCTTTCTGAGTTATGTATGCCATTGTCCAGGCTCATTCGCAATACTGATCATCTTGTTAATTCCCTTTCCGAGTTTGTGATCTGAGTCTCAACGTCAATCCCATGGCCGAAAATGGCAGAACTCGACCAAGTTCAATAATTATCCTTTTGTTATATGCAACTCGAACGCTGTCCATTCTCTAACCAGGCAGTTATCAGCAAAACGTGCCATTAAATTCACGATGGATTAAACATGGAGACAGTTTAACCTAGTAAAATTTCCCAGAACTAAACATCTATCTACCTGCCACTGGGAGTTTACTACCCTCAAAGAATAACTTTATAGATGATATGGAACCAGTAACACAAGACTCACTAGGAGCAAAATTACAACTTTGCTGAATTTTCTTATTCACCTGATATCTGTCTCTCTGCACATTCACAACAAATTTGTTACACTATACCATAGTGGAAATTAAATGGGCGTTTTAACTCAAAACACTATACGTTCTTCATGCTAATCATTTTCCGGTGGCACATTTGATATGAATCAACTCAGAAGTTCCATTTTGGGGAGGAATGAACAGCAATTTGCCGGGGTCTGACAGGCTGCTCTGAGTTCCGCTTCTTCATGATTGAGGAGACAGTTGGGCTGTAGTAGTCATTGCTCCTTTGAGAAGTTGCTGCTTGCGAATGCATCTTCCTTCCATGGATAAAGCTCCTCTGCTTTTCTAGCAACGCCCTGCGCTGCACTGGGTTACTTTGGGTGGCTCCCCATCTATTATAGTTCACACAACTCTGGCTCCTTCCCACTTGTTGAAACTTTCCATCTGCAGGAGTAGTATAATTTCGACTCTCAGCAGTTTCAGCAGAGTACATAGTCTCTCCCTCACTACTATACCCATTCTGCCTATCTGCAGCATCCACTGGTAATGAACTAGACTCAACCTCACTTTGGGCCCCATTAAAAGAACCCGTCGAGGCAATTTCAGCATTTGCATCAGGACTGGCTGGTCCTCTATCCTCAACTCTGTTTCCTTCTCTTACTGGGATATGCTCAGGAGGCTCCCTGACAAAATTCTCACCAGAATTCGGGAGTAACATTTTGGTTGACTGTGGTAGAACTGCTGGTTTTGCAACCCTTGGAGGAAAATTAATGTCCAAAAGCTGAACTGGGGAGCCTTCTCTTCTCCGAAGAGGGATAGCTGTTAACTTCGGTGATTCATAAATTTCCGGAGTAGGAATACCTTGTAAATGTGCAGCATGAGGATCACCTGTTAGGGCCTCTTCTTCAACAGTGTTTGCGGCAGCAGAGCAGCTTGATCCATGCTGGTCCCTAGGTTTTGAGATTGTATTTGATGAAGAAGTTGTTCCATCATTATCACCTTCAGTTGACTTAAAAACTTGCCGCTGTGTGAAGGAAGCACAAGAGTGTTCGCTTTTCTGGGCAGAAGACATTAACCGAATGAGCGGTAGCTTAGGCTTGTTAAGATCATCGAGACTGCCCTCCCAATGCTGATTTAACCAATCACAAATGATTGGAATGGGGATACCAAATTGCATCGGGTGATCCTTCTTCCATGACGAGGAGGATGATGAGGAAGTTGATGAGATTTGGTGTTTGGAGATGTTGCTAGTTTCATCGGATCACATATCATAAATGCAAGATTCCCTTGTGCGTCAAATCCGGCTGAACCCGGGCTCAATGTTACTCCATCAGTTGACAATTTTATGAGATTGTCTGTGGCAATCACTACCTTACCTTCGCCAACTGTCAAATCCTTCTTCTCCATGTAGCCTAGAAGGTAAACTACACTGCCGAGATCCAGGCTTGGTTTAGAGCAGGTCTTCAAGTGGTGGAGGTGGCCTTGGGCATTTGAATCTCCATCCACCGCATCCAGACCTACTATTGTGAGATCTAAAATGGAGCTGGTGATGAAAAATCTGCAATCCAATGAAAGAGTGAGAAAAGTTACTTCAAAAGCCTGATAATGTAAAGGCAACATGATGCGTTGGTGCTTTATGAGAACAATGTCACCAAGTCGTCCTTTCCCCATCAGTCTAAACTAGAGAACGGAACTTCTATTAGATCCAACGGAATTTGTATTCAATAACTATATCAACTACAATAAAATTAAAAAAATAAATAAATAAATAAATAAGAAACCGAATCATCACGGTCATGATCCTACGTACTCCAATTTTCAATTACATTTCCATTTCGTAATCATTTCCCATAGGAGGCAACCCACAAGATAGCTACCTAATTATAAACGTGTCTCACAATTAAGCCTTAGGAACCCAACTCAAAAGTAAAACAACAAAATTTTCATGACTCAGGGAGGACTTGCCAGATCAATTCTGGAGCAATTTCCATCTCCAAAATAAACGAACAAGCAGTTTCTTCCATTTTTCAGTCACTGGAATCTCTTATTGCCTAAAATTCTTGCCTTTTTAGCTCTATCATGCCATCCATCCACCATTACCTCCAGTTTTAGTTCATTTAACATACTGCATTATCGGTACTACCCCTGAACTCCCCAGTCTCCATCCCCTACATTAAAGACTTCCACCTTTAACTAATCTGAATGGTTACCAGGTACCACGGACGTGGGATTTGGGCAGTTGGTTAGGGCAGCGTACCCACCATGTTGCACTCAAGTTTGAATCCCTCTCTCTTAAATTAGAATATATCTTGTCAGTGAAAAAATGGTTACCAGCTGATACTCTTTCTCCTAACCACTAGTTTACTTGTAGACAATGAATGAGTATGACCCAATCAGATCCAACAACATAATCACCAGAAGTTGCATACAAAACACTCCAACTTCTTAGCAGCACCCATAACTCTTTTCACATTACAACTTTTGACCAAGTCAAATCTCACCAATGAAAACACAAATGTCACAACACAACCAAATATTCAATACAAAACTAATCAATTCCCCATCGATAGCAACAAAATGGGTCGAAACATCATACAATCAAACTGTTCAAAAATGTCAATTTCTATCGTTTGGGACCCACTAATACTCAGCCAAAAACTCAAGGCCAGGTCCTAATCACATGCCACTTTTTACTTCCCACAAACTCTTATTAATTTTTGTCCATGGATAGTCGTCAAATCATGCAATCTGATGGCCGGAAATTGAAAGAGTTCGAAAGAAGTAAAAATGGAAATGTGGACAGGTCTCATGTTTTCCACTATTTCAACAACAAACCACTAGTAAACACTAACCCCAGTATTTACTTTCAATTAAATTTCCACATAACCAAAGAAAATCAAAACTTTATTAAGAAATAAAAAAATTTAACCAAAGCTAGTATTGAGTCACCTTTGGGGAACGAGACTTGCAGCGACACCGTTTTGCAGCCGGATCTCGGAGCTCTCGGCGGCCGCCACAGACGGAAGGTTGACGTGGGTGGTCAATAGTAGACTACGGTGGATCAGGAATCCCGTACCGGAGATCCCATTTGCGGCGCCGGAAATTATGGCCATGGCCGGAGCCTTGCCGGAGAAAATGGCGGCCTTCATCTTCTCAGACTTGCTGACTCCTTTGCAGAAGCACCACGACTCCCTCAGACCACCCATTTCAACGGAGGGTCGACAAAGTTGGACGATTTAATCAAATGGGTTATCTTTATTCGATTGAAAAGCTTCAAAATTTGGATCTACGGCGAGCTAAAGTGGCATTTTTATACATGGGTCTGCATTGTTTGATGCCATGATTGTGAAGGAAAAGGAAAAGAGAGAGAGAAGGAGAAGGACAACACCGACGAGTTAAAGGGGGGAGTTTGGGTTAATACTGTGAGCTGGAAATTGGGCCAAAAGAAAATGGTTTGTCTGAGTCTGAGACTCTGAGCGAGGAGAAGGAGAGTTGAACGTGTGATTGTGAGTAGGAAAATAGTAAAGGGAGTGAAAAATGGAGTGGACCAATTTTTGGAGATTACAAGTGAAGTGATATTATGGAATTGGAATATTCATGTGAACATCATCAAGTCTCTTCTTTTATTATTATTATTATTAATTTTTGGATCATTAATTTTTTTTATTACTTATATACTCTGATTCAGTTATAGAACAAATGAAATATACGAATACATGATGACTTGTGTGTTGATATTAGCATTGTAACAAACGAAATATACGAATGTGTTGTTGATATATTATCGATAATATCAATGCTATGTTACACAAAGAATTAGTAATCACATACTAACAAAAAATCTCTATACAAGCGTTCCTTTTTGTAAACGTGCATCTACATTGTATTAATATTAGTTATTTATGACATATAAACATTTTGTAACTATTTGGTAGTAAAAAAGGGACGTTTGTTTCATACTGAGACTCTGCATTCTAACTTGCAAGAAAAGTTTATGAATTTTAATTAGTACTAATCAAACATTTATTTGGGTCGCTTTTTCTTTATGTAATTTTAAAATGATTTTGACATTATAAAAAAAGTAATATTTCATAGGAAGTTACAGTCAAAGTGAAGTGATGGGTTTCATCTGTGAGGTCACCACCCTGGGCCCATCTGATCATGTGAAGATGTCGCATTACATAATAATTAATCATATGATATATTATTTTGACGATGACTTATATTTTAATTCAAAACTGCTCGTCGTTAATGGATAGAACTTCATGTTTATGATCATAATCATTCATATTATAAATAATTCTATAAATATAGTTTTAGCAAAAATTAATTAAAATTAAGATCGTTTAGTCATCGAACTGTATAAAAACAGATGAACAAAATTAGTAAAAGCCATTACGTAACGTCTATGTATTTGCTAAAATAGATTGACTGAACAACTTTAGTTTTAATTCATTTTATGCAGAATGATTTATAATATGAACGGTTCTGATCATAAGCACAAACATTTGTAATTCAAACATGAAGAGTTTTGAATAAAAGGTCTTACTCATTCTTGCTTAAGTGATTTTTTGTTAGAAATGATTTCACTAGAAATTCAAACTGAATTTTATTGTACTACTAGACTAATGTTTAGTAGACATCTAGAAGGTTAAAAGGAAAAGAAAAAGGAGAAAGAAGAGCAACTTTGAACTTTATTCTTCATACAATGTGATGAATTTGGTGATGAATGCATGGCAAAAGAACAGAGAAAAACTACTTTGACCTTTATTCTTCTTGTAAATCACTAGTACCAACATCAAGCGCATGCAACGTGAAGCCCCACAGTCACAAAATCTGTTAGAAATGCTTTTACTAGAAATCCGTAGAAATTCTCCAGCTTTATATCCATTAAATTGACAAGTCAATTCCATATTTGACCCTTGATTTTCCGAATATTGAGTCGTCTGAAATATCGAAGAAAAATTGGACTTGCTGGGTTTAATTTCCGCTCGTCAAATATAAACGAGGAGGAAAAGAAAGGAAAATAGAAGTCAACTTCCAAACATTGTCCCACTCGACAAAAAACTTCTATATTTGTACTGAAGAACAAAAATAAACATTTCATCCCAGACACAAACAGACAGGAACTGATCAACGGTGAGATGTACACTTTCCAAAAGTTCTCTCTACTTCCCACAATTCAATGGCTTTTTCTTTGAAGCTATAAGTTAGAAACTCCCAAGGCGTTGTTCATTGCTTTAACCCAGTAAAACCTGGCAAGTTAAAAACTCTAATTTTCCGTAAGTCGGAAACAATAAGGTGTGTCATGAAGTCATCCACCATATCTCTGCAAGAACGAGCGGAGTTCAAAGGATTCTAAACTAAATTTGGTCTTTTCTTCGTATCCAAACACAGAAGAGGGAGTACTCCGAGTGCAGAATCAATCACAGCCACCCACATCGACCCCTTTCTGCTTTAAAAAATCCTTGGCCTCAGCTATGTCCTAATGGATATAACATCGGTTAGAAATAAGAGTTTAGAACATGTTTTAGTTCAAAGTTTTTTTTTTTCTAAAGACAAACATATATAAATGTAAAAGGTGAGAGGTGTGTAATAAATAGCACAGAGAGAAAGAGAGAGCGATTAACCAAAGTATCATTTAGCGAAGTAAACTGAGCAGAAAATAAATAGAAAATGTAATCTACCTGCTGCAACAGTACTGCTTCTTGAGGACAAGTCGGAAATTGCATGAGACCAACTCCGACCATTAGCAGGCCATAGCATCCTAGAGACACAATGAAATATATTGGTAGCTGGGAAGAGGATAAAACAGAGTATAGTAAGCATAATATAACATGAAAAGTATAAACAGTAACGTAAACCTGACCTGAAATAAACAGATAAAATAACTCACCAACCAAGTATGACTACGTGGGATAATAGACGTCTGTAAGAGACCAATCCACAAGGCAGAGATGGCCACCACCAATGTCAGAATTTTCACAATATGCTTCATTGATTTATATAAAATAGTTCCCACTCCTCTGCAAGTTACAAATAACATAAGTGAAAAGAAACAAAGGAAAATTAATGAAAAGGGAGCCAAGCCCTGTGATGTGCTTACTTGACATATTATAATGTCTTTCAAATTCATGCATGAAAACAACAAATTCATGACCAAGCACACAAGGCAATGCACATCTGCGAGTTGATTCGTAGGTGTAATGTATTAACGGTGAAACCATATGCTTTACATGAGCAATCAATTGAAGAGAAATTGGTAGCTACTTTAACCGTAAATGAAAATGCAGAGCAAAAGAAAAATATAACGTAAGCCATTCTATTTGATTTTTGCTACAGGCTGCCTCAAAAGAAGGACAAGAAAAAACGATGTTACATGAAAGCAACAAATCAAACAATAGTAACTTAAGAAAATAAACCACCGTGAGCAAAACTTAGATCATGCTGCATCTTCTAATTAGACCTCAGAGCAAACTACCTGATTCAATCATGCTCGTCCAGGTATTTTCTACTAGTAAATGCTCAAAAAACATAATTCCTTTAAACCTACGTCTTTACTTTTCCTTATCCAGTAGCCCTCCCCTCCCCCATCACCACACTCAGGAGATTTATCTACTACAACTAGTAGTCGATCCCATGACCTATTAGGTAGAAAAAGCAAAAAGTTCAAGGCAGAACGAGAATCGTTCAATAACTTCCTCACTCCCACTGAAGCACAAATTTAATTGAAAATCTGAAACAGTTCAATCTCTCCCATGTTCAACAGTCAAGCCAGAACGAGACGGGTGACGAAAACACATAAATTTATGCAGGGAAAACTAATGAAAATAAATTAAAAACTTTAAGTTTTAACGATAAGATCAAAATAAATGGTAAAATTAATAGTATCAATATTGATTTTTTAGTGTAAAAATATGATATTTCGTTAAAGTAAACAAGGGAGCTTTTCGTAAAAGTTCCCGTTTATGTATGCATATGGGCAGTAAAAATGTAAACTTTGAGCCATCAGAAGGGATAGATCATAGTTATCTTTTCACTGTTCCAGTCCATGTAAATGGTTATAACCTGGATCTCAAAGCCCTTGCGCAATTTCCCAACATCATCAGGCAACTTACTACAAATTCTATCAACAATCAAGAGCGGACCCTAAATCAAACATTTGTGTCAAGCCATGGATCATATGAGATCCCAAACAAAAAGCTAAGAGCATCTGCTGCACCAAAATCTGATAAATGATCCCTTTAGTCCCCCTACCCCCAAAAAAAAAAGTACAAATTCTCACTTCAGATTACAAAGTAATTGAACAGAAAAAGCTGACAAATATGTGAAAGAAAGAAATTTCGCATCAAAATTGACAGAAAATTGAAAGAAAGCAAGGATTTTTAGCAAAAAATTGAATTAATTCGAGATGGGCAGAAAGAATTACAGTGAATTTTGTGACAGAGACGAAGCAGAAGAGCGACTGAGACCAAGGTGTTCGTTTAGGGCAGGCGGGGAGCAGAGAAAATTGAGAGGGTAAACCCTAAAAGGACTCCAAAGGGGCATATTATGAGGATAACGAAAAATTGACATTTGGGGTGAAAGAAGTGAATAGGGAATACTTTGTCTTTATTTCTATTTTGGCCCCTGAACTTAATAAAATTCCACAGTTTGCCCCATAGACCGAACCCAATTGGGATTTGGGGTAATTATATCAGTTTCTTCTCCGATCCGCAATTTGTAAAAATTTCAATGGCGGCGGGCAGCACTGATGTGGAGGCGGGGTTCGCGAAGCTTCAAGGCGAAGACTTCGAGTACTACATGCAGACCTACTCCATAATCCTGGGCCGGAACTCCAAGAAATCGACGGTGGACGTCGACCTCTCCAGCCTCGGCGGCGGCATGAACATTTCGCGCCACCATGCCCGAATTTTCTACGACTTCACGCGGCGTCGATTCGCGCTCGAGGTCCTCGGCAAGAACGGCTGCCTCGTGGAGGGTGTGCTCCACCTACCCGGGAACCCGCCGGTCAAGCTGGACTCGCAGGATCTTCTTCAGATCGGAGATAAGGAGTTTTACTTTCTGTTGCCGGTGAGGAGCATTCTCGGTGGTCCTGTGGGTCCCAGGCATTACCCCGCCTCGGTGCCAGTGGTGCCGAGCTCCGTGGGCCCGGCTCATTACGGGTACCATTCGGGTTCGGGTGCTGGGCCGATTGGGAAGAAGGGGAGGGGGAGGGAGTTGTATGAGGAGGAGTATGATGACGAGGAGGATGTTGGTGGGGGCAGTGGGAGTGGGAAGAAGATGAGGAGAGAAGGGTATGAGGGTTTTGGGTATGGTGGCGGGTCGGGTTCTGGTTCAGGCAAGGCTGGAGCTTTGGGTTAGTTTTTTTTCCCTGTTCTAGCTTCTCTCTCTTACCTAGAAATTATTAAATGATGGACATTGATGTTGATATTGCAATTGGAAAATGAAAGTTGTGTTTTTTGAATTATGTGAATAATGGCATTGTCAAGTGTTTCGAATCACATATTTAGGTTTAGTGTTGAGTTCGAATTTCAGCTTGAATTTCGACGGATCTATCCGCCTTTCTGTAGAAAAGGATTACGAGGTGCATTTATTCTGTTTGTTTTACAGCTTTAGGAGATTGTTTTGAAAGCATTCAAATTGTTTTTCTTTGGGAACTGCACTAATCCTGAATACTATCCTGTATTATTGAGATTATTTGAACTTTTGTGGCACTACTGGTTTCATTGGTTCCTTATCAGAGTAGTTTTTGTCTTAATTATTTTTGGTTTTCGGGGAATGGATTGTGTGTAGTTGTGGTTGGATGTGGTTTATGTTAGATAATCAGCCAACTTATTTCTCTGATGATCAAGAACTGGTGTATTCCATTTCTTCAGAGGAATCAAGCCAAGCCATAGATTCAAAGACATTTCTTCAGCTCGATCTCCATCTGTGACCCATACATTCTATGGCGGCTTTTTTTATGTCAGTGTTAGCGTTGTCTTTCTAGGTTGCGCTATTGGTACTTCACCAGGAATAGGATTACGTGGGCATTAGTGATGGGGTTGATGTTTGCTGCTTAGGATGATACTGAAGATATTTCTTTCCTCCCTAATTTTGGCATGCGTTGACAATTGTTCTCTTATTCCTTTTAAGATGTTTAATTAGGAAACTCCCTGCAAATACATTTTAAATTATAAACTGAAACTATTGTTATGTTCTATCTATGCCATAATTTTGTCTTTGATTTCTGCAGAGAAGAAAGGAGATGGAAGGTCCAGGGTTGATCGAGACACTGACAATCAGCAACTTCTGCATTTGGAGGAAAAGGATGTTGTGTCATCTGTTGCTACTGTGCTCTCCGATCTTTGCGGTCCAGGAGAATGGATGCCTATGGAGAAACTTCATAATGAGGTTAGTATTGACATATTCTAATGAGCAAATTATTTGGTAATAACCTTTGACACTATCCTTAGTTATTGTCCAATCTTCAACTGCACTTTTGCTTGATTTTTGTTATTGTGCTCAGATCAAAAACAAAAATGTGGGTTCAACTTCAAAGCCATATGCTCCAACTTAAAAGCTCATAGAGCATTGTCTAATCCACTATTTAGTCTCATCTGTGATGGATGCTACAGTTATCTGTAGTCATCGGCAACATAGAAACACATCCCTAGTTATTCGTGTTCAGCATAATTTAGTTTCGCTTTGCATGATTATGCATATGTGTAGCTTATTCCAGTTTTATTTATTGTAGTTCTGTGATGTTGGAACCTTGGTTTTCTCTGCCTTACTCCGTATCATTTTTGTTCAGTTGGTGGAGCAGTATAGCAGCATCTGGCATCACACTCGAGTGAGGAGGTATCTCACTTCTGAGGAATGGCCTGGTCCAGAGTCAAAAGGGAAACCATGGTACGGCTTGCTTATGCTGCTAAGAAAATACCCCGAACACTTTGTCATCAACACAAGGTCCAAGGGCCGGGTAACACTGGAGTTTGTTTCTCTCGTCTCTCTGCTTTCATAAAATTATAAGACATGAGATGGACCTTCCTTGATGCTGATTGTTTACAATGTAGTTTATCAGGCAAGTGAGTTTCCGGTTGCCAAAATTTGTACAATTGTTGTGAGTTTCGAGCAGCAATATGAGCTTTTAGACCCCTGCTAGGTAAGAGATGTAAAACGATTAGCAATGATATGGGCTGTTTTGCAATGACATTTTCTGTACATGATTGGTAGCAACAATACTATTTATCCCTAGATAATTTTTTTTTTTTTTTTTCTTCCATTAATGAATGCCGAATGCAACATCAGCCATTCACTTTATATCATTTTGCTTTATATAACATCAACAAAATTGCTTCAATCTAGGGATACATTCATGCCAAGCTATAGCGAGTTACGTCTGTGTTAAACTTGGAGATGTAAGTCTTCTTTTGTTTCTTCACGGTGAAGTAAGACTAAGTTCATGAGCTTATTATCGTAGGTTGGAACAATTTGGTAGGATCCCCTTTCTTACCTCCCCGCGTCCCTTTTCCTGTGGTGATGGGGTGCAAAAACAGAAACAGAGGGATAGCGTTTCTCTCGCTTTTGGCCAAGAGGCCCCTCAGCGGGAGACCCAAAATGTTGCAATTTGTAAAGTGGTGTGGTATGTGGGTGTTCCGTTTCGGGGTCTGATTAAACAGAAGAAAATGGTGAGCCGAGTGATCATTAGTGGTTGGGAGGGGCCAGACGCAAACCTGCAAAAGTAAAATCTCACTGAAGTTCTGTATTTGCCAAAAGTTTCCTTTATTTGATGAGAAAACAAAGGAGCAGAAACATTGCCTTGGACAACAGAACTTGCATGGAAGAGATTCATCATTCTAGTCCAAAATGCATTACAATGCAATGTTTTAAAAGGTAAAAGTGTAGACGAGGTGTTTCATGGATAGCCTACCCTAAGCGAAAGCCTTTAAGCGTGAGACTGCCTAACAAGACCCACATAGTCTTAAAAGAGAAAAACAAGAATAATATGATGTTTTTTTTTAAGTAAAGAATAATAACGTTACAAAAAAATTAATAAAAACAAGCCAATCACATTTTTTAAGAAAAGAATATATAAGATGCTTTCATAGAAATATCTTATTTTCAGTTTTTGAGATATATAAAATAATATTAAAAATAAAAAGTCTAACATAAAGGAATATGGTCGAGCAACAAATATCAGCAAAAGTGGGTTAGTTTAAAAAGAAAAAGAAGTATAAACAAAATGAAAAGTCAACCAAAAAAAAAAAACACCACTCGAAACGGTGCCCTCTTTTTCATCTTCTTTGAAGTGCAGCTGGCTCTGCAACTAAAAAAAAAATTTAGACTTCGGCAACTTGAAAAAAGGAGCCCCAGTCGAACGCCTCAAGCATGCCTCGACCACATCTAGCCATCTAGGCGAGTTTAATCCTACTCCTGTTGGGTAGAGACGTTTTCATGGTCGCCCTGCCACCAAAGCCGCCTAGGCACGTTTTTTAAAACATTTTTACAATGTGTAAGTTTTCCTTCATATGCATCATAGTGGACCGGAACACAATTCATTAGTAATCTGTTCATTGTAAGTTGTTTGCCTTGGAAGCCAAGAGTTGCAAAAACATTACTGCTATCACTTTAGGGTAACGAATAGACGGCATCCATGGTAGAGAGTGCAAACACTTGGCCAAGAAATGTGAATGTTTGATTCCGAAAGTCAATAATCTCCTTTCCTATTTCTATCTTCTACATACAAGTAGAAATTGAAAATTCATCCCTAAAGCGGGAGATACAATGGCAAACACAAAGGCAACTAAAACTCAAGGAAGCATGCCCCGAAACCTTATTATTGACATATATGAAAGTTCAAGATACATGCCACAAAATTTTAGGACTCTTCTTTGGTTAGGTTACCAAGTGCTACCCTCTGTGCATGCAACTTTTGTTCACGAGCCTGTTTTGCAGCAAGGGCTTCCTCATCAAGTACTTTGATAGGAGACCAGTCAGGCATTTTCAGCCAACCGTCATTCTTCTGTGAACCGTCATTACTCCCAAGCATAGATTCCTTGTAGCTCTTTAACACAGGTCTTAGTCTAATTGTAGCATAATCCACAGTTGTCCCAACAACGGTAAAGATGATTGAGTAGCGGACAGCACCAATTTGACCACCTATAAACCAATGAACAAAACAGTTCAACCACATATGGCAAGAGGGATGATTTCAAAGTAGTATGAACAATAAGGCAGACAATTAACAAATATGCTAGCAACTACAAGTTCAGCAATGCAGCTTGTGAGTTGAGACGTTTGTGCTGATGATTCAGGAGGTTTGAGAGACTTAGTAGATTTGGGATTTTCAGATTTAAAGGATGCCCAACGCTTGGGAGGGGAAATCCGAGAGTAAAGCTACTGTGAGTATACTGTAATTGCTCGACATACAGCAAGCCCCGCCCAATAACTCAAGACCTTAAACGAACATGTCTCTCTCTCGATTATTGATGTCCTGCTTAAAGCTGGCAGTGGATGGATTCTCTACTTCTGGAAATAAGTCCAGAGTCCTGGTTAAGCAATATCCGAGCTTCATTCAAATCAGAAAATTTCCAGTTCTTCTAAGCAGACTACATAACTTATAGCTCTGCAATTGAGCTCGCATCAGTAAACCGAACTCATGAAATCTTCCAAGCCAAAGTAAATCCTAATAGCCAAAACATATTACGTGCTCCCAGATTAGCCCAGGTTAGACATATAGACCCCCAACCCACTACAAATGAATGACACAAGTCCAAGCCACGAGCCGAGAGGTCGAAAGGCATTGGAAATTTCAGCTATTACCCATGACATTGCTTCGATCACAAACAATAAAAGTGTACACAATCTGATTACACCAAAGTCATTCTTCCTCAAACATACAGAAGATACAGATTGAAGGAATCTCACCCTGAAGACGCCCGAGAATGGCACCAGTACCAAACCCAGCAATTGCAGAGTTCACCAGATCATCAGGTCCAGTTTTTCGAGTTACTCCCACATATTCACGAGCCCCTGCCAAATCCAAACAAACCCATTACATTTCCGCCACTGCCTCTCCATCCAGCTTCCCTCTCAGACATTTTAACAAACACGAACCAATAAAACCAAATGGGTACATAAATCAGAAGCCAGAGAACAAAATTTCAGAACAAAGCAATGAAATTTACCGCAGTAACAAGCGGTAACTATGGCGAAATTGGCAGCATAGGTAGCGCAACTGGTCGGGAGACCCATGACTTTTCGATGCTTGGAGACCAACCCAGCTCCTCCGCCGAGAATCCCAGCTAGGAGAGTGGGGAAGACGATGCGCTCCTTCCAAGACGACGGCGGTGGCTCTGCTTCTACTGCTTTGGGATCGTCGGAAGCCATGATTGTAATGAAATCCGTGAAATTTGCTTTTGTTCTTGTTCGTGCTTCGCCTGAGCTCTCTTCAGCCTTCAACGCGAGAATTTCGGAGTCGTTCTGTTACGGGAGGCGGTGTTTCGGTGCAAATCTTTGTTGCGCCTCATTCGGATCGGGTTGTAGGTCGGGTATTCGGATGGTAACCATATCTTAAACTGGACTCGGGATGTCTAATTCTTCTTCATATTTGGGGCTTTTTTTATGAAAAAGAAGAAAGCTTTTCTTAAAATAATTGTTATTAGCACTTCAAATTTTTCATTCTATATTCTAAATTTTTTATTTATATGAAAAAAATACACTTGTGTGAGAAGTATAAAATAAGATTTTTAGAGTGCCAATAATACTTCTCCTTCTTAAATGGAGAAGAGAATTTAGGAAATTGATTCAAGTGCTCATGCATTTCTTATTATTATTATTATTTTTTTTATTATAAATGGTTTTTGAAATTGATCTCATTCCTCATTTTAGTTCTTGAATTAAAAATCGATCAATGTTATTTCTGAAATTTGGTACCATAAATAAATGCTGTCCCTATGTCGCATTCTGTTAATTTTTCAGTAACTTTGATGATGTATCACCCATGAAACCCATACGACCAGTGATATGGTGCCACGTAGAACAGTTTTAAAAAAAAATTGATCTAAGATTTAAAAACTCATTAATAAAACTAAAAAAAAAGTAAGATAAATGAACGCAACGCCTCCATCTCAAATCGGATTGCCGAAAATTAAAATCAAAATCAATTTGCGAAAAAGGAAATCCCAAAATGAAATCAAAACACGTATTAGGGATTCATAGGAAAGAGAGGGAGAGTTTGTGAGTCATCTCCCCCACCCCAAGCCCAACCGAACCTCTCCCGTAACCTCGCTGCTAGACTCTGGTGCTTTGGAGAAGAACCTGAAATTAAATTTGAAGAGGTTATGGAGATGATAGTTGGAGATGAGGGAGGTGACTTGGTTAGTTTTTTCATCTATGCTTTAAAAACCCAGAAAATGAGAGTCTCTTCTAGATTTGAGGAAGTTTTCTTTTCTGTCGGTATTATGAACTTTTGAAGGAGCTGGGTTGGTCGTGTGTTTTTTTTTTTTTTTTTTTTTTTTTTTGAGTTTTGTTAATGATTTTAAATCTTCTCTCTTTTTAGAAAAGTTTAGTCCATGCGGCACCACACTATTGGTTGTATGGATCCCAGGTCTGACATGTCATCAAAGTAACAGAAAAATCAACGGAATGCAACGGTAGGGACGACATTGATTTGTGATACTAAATTTCAGAGACGACGTTAATCGATTTTCAATTTCAAGAATTAAAGTGAGGAGTGAGATCAATTTAAAAAACTATTTGTGATAAAAACCTTTTTTTTTTTCTTTTCATATTTTGATAGGGTGTAAATAACAACTCCTATAGTAGGATCGTAATATTGGCCATAGCACCAGATTCGAGGGTCAAGAATGTGTTTTCCGATCAACACTCATTTGTTCGAAGCAAGGGATTACCAAAATTCGCTCAATTAAAAATATGTGATAATAGTTTAAACAAGGAGTTAGATATGTATATCAATTGCCTCACTTTTAACTATGTGGTATTCAAGCTATTTAGTACTACGATCTGGTGGTATTCTTCTTCATTTGTAAGTGAGAGGTCTTTCGTTCGATTCTCACCAAAGGCGAAGTTGACCTACATTATTATGACAAGTCCATTATAAGGTTTAGCCTACTCTCACATCTCTTTTGTGTAGATACTATCGTTTGTTAAAAAAAAAGAAAAAAAAAAAAAAAGAACTATGTGATATTCAAAACATTACGCTCAAACAAAAATAGAGGTGAATTAACCTATTTTGTTGCCATTCTTAATGAGGCTGACAAAGTAGAACTTACATACATGAATTATTGTGATAAAGTTACGCACGAAAGAAGTCCATGCATTGGTGTTCAAAAAAAAAAAAAAAAAGAAGTCCATGCATTGCATCATAAAGTAGTTTTGGCTTTAATAATATTCCATGTACTAGTATTATCTTAAAGTCATCATAGTAGGTTCATTATATTGGGAATCTTTATAGGTTCTTTGTCATCTTACAATTTAACGTTAATTCTATTGCCAACATTATAAAACAATGTGCGAAAAATATGAGTTGACAGAAAGTCTATAGAAATTTTCACTATTGAGAGAGTTTTAAGCCTAGATTTGTTGGGGAAATTTTTTATTGTTAAAGTAAAAGTAAGATTTTATTCTCTTCCATTCTATTAACTCGAGGATTACGTAGGAATCAACAAGGAATAGATTTCCTTTTTTTTTTATTGGTTATTCTCATCTGTGAGAATCAAGAAGAATTAAGGGCTTATAGTGTTCTAGAGTTTGTTCGCTTTTTCCTATATTATCCTCTGCATCACCTAATATGGAAGCGATTTCCACACACTTCTTTTTCTTACGTACTCCATTGTTTATTCCTAACCTTTTGAATTGTTTAAATTAAGAAAGTACCGAATAACGAAAATAAATAAGGGTGCATGTAAGGAAAAAAAGAAAAAGAAGTGGACGAAAATCAATTCCCTTCCTAATAAAAAGGAGGTTCAAGAAGCATTAGTTCTTATTTATGTTTTCACCAATGTGAAGTACCAAAACAAATTTTGTTCAACTTAGAGCCACTGTTATTTGATAGCAGTATCTCATTCAAACTTGGCATATGATCACATTCATCAGCTAATGAAAAATTATAAATAGGTTACGGAGAATACATCTTGGAGCTGAAGTTTCCCATGCATTAATAAGTTTAAAAGGTTTTAATTTCCACTGCAAATCATCGCTTCGAAGCAGTTTATCTGATCGAAGCGATTAGCGACTAAGACGCTCCTAATATGGAACTAATGATTATTGGGGGCGTTTACCTTATTAAACGACCATGAAATTCACAATTTGCCCTAATATGGACCTTTATACACCAAAAAATGGGAGGTCTGTCAGCTGAGCACTTAACTGTTAGAAAGCAGGAAATTAAGCATTGCCCTTGAACGTTTGTGTTCAAGAGTCCAACATGTCTTGCTCTGCACCTTCTGAAGCTGAAAGGCCATTCACTTCTTCTTTGTCATCCTCCCAGTCGCCGTCTTCCAATTGAGGACTCTCGGACCTCTTCTCTGACTCTACCCCTTGCCTTCTCCTCCTGTGTTCTGAAATATTTCACGAAAGCAAACAATTAAAGACCGGGGGCATGTAAAGTCTGGGATAATGTGAGGCAAGAGAAGAGGAAACTTACTTTTATTAGTAATTGCATGACGAGTCATGACCAAGAATTCATCCCACTTGAATTTCTTGAGTTCTTGCTTCTCCCCCTCAGAAAGCTCGAAATTTGGTTCCCTCCCACACATGAAAGCAGCCCTGAACACAAATAACAAAACTAACAAAGTTTATGGCTATAATTTATTGCATTTGACACACATAGGTTACCACCCATTTTCCCATTTGGCTTATCAAGTTTCATGTTTTTGAACTTCGGGGAATTGACATGAACTACTATATCATGTTGGTAATGCAGACACAACAGACCTTCAGATTTTCAAAAATAAAAAACCAGAAGTAACATAAAAAAGGACACAGGTAACCACTAAACTAGTTGTAATATACATTTAGGACGGCATGTCCTATCTGATGCCCCTGTCTGAAGAACGTGAACGGAAAAAAAACCAGTGTAGCAACAGTAAAACTAAGATTGTTTTATTTGAAGGTGTATCTAACACCACGATGACTAACCGCTAAAAAGAGAAGGCATTTGGTAGTCGGTAGACAAAAGAAGACTGCAATGGTTTATGATTTTCATAATTAAGCACAATTGAAAGATCTTGTACATGCTGATTTTTCCTTAAAGTGCTCACCCAATATATATTGTTCGTAGTGAAAAAAAATGTGACTGTACCTGTCATACAAATGAGCAGCCTCTTCTTGGGAACCAACAGTGCCTAAGTGGATTTGTTTCTTGTCAACTTTAATTGCTGCCTGCCACTTCATATTCTTAAAATAGACACCTCTCATTAGACATGGTTCCTGGTTTTGAGCATGCTTTCTGCGATGTCGCTTTCTGCGTTTGATTGTTGGCCCTGCAAATAGCATGTTATGTTTTAGAAACGATCAACCTGTGGCACTGGCATAACCTCTCAAGTTAATTGTACTGGATAAACGTATACTTTATCTTTAATACTTCCATTATCAAGATTCAAGACTCAAGAATACGTGTGCAGGAGGTAAATATACAGAATAACTGCAAAATCAAGAATATGCTCTGTGCCAAAATACTTATATAGGCAAACATAGCAAAAGTTGAAAATAACTGCAAACTCACAAACTCGCATCTTCTCAAGACTACCACTAAGTTCTCATAATGTAAAGACAGAAAATAAAAGTTTCAAAAGGACGACTTTGCAAATTTGTACGTCCAATAGTCCAAGACATCCAGCATTCTAATCTATAATATATAATTAGAAATGACAGAAAATTTAATTTAAACAACAGACCTGCCACATCGTGCTGCTCTTTGGATAAGCTAGAACCAGATGCAGTTAAGGATCGAGGTTTTGCTTTCACAATGGTATTCTGGTAATAAGTAAAGCATCAGATAGAATGAAACCAAGAAGCTGAGAAATGATTGAAATGAATCCAGAGCTAGTGAATATCCAAAATAGAGCTTTCGATTTCCTATTTATGGTATAGATTTTTTCTTTTTTGGCTGAACGAAATCATTATATAAGTATTTTACAAGAAAACGCTTTTAGCCTTCTTGATCAAGCAACTACGAACTAAGAGCAAACTTGATCACAAAACCAGGTCTAGGGGCACCAACATCTCAAAGGGTTTACTGCTTACAGAAATCCTATTCTTACATTGAAAGAGATATTGTTATTGTGAAAACGGTATTCAGGTTTTATATGGTGATCATTCCATCTTACCATTTTTCTCTAGGTACCCTGCCAAGCTTACTTTACGTGAAAAACCAATATTACATCATCGAGACATCCAGCCGATGGATTTTTGTCCTAAGTATATAAATGGAATTTTTCTCTTACCATATTTACATATAGGTTAACAAAAAAACATAGTAATCCTGCCTGACAGGTGTCCTAAACAAGCTAATAAAACCTTCAAAGAAAACGGTAATAAATTTAATGTATGTAATTTAATGATTGACCGATCAATAATCTTTTCTTACCCCATCTGGTTGATTTGCACCATTTGAAGGCATGGGATGCACACTGACAGGATTTGTACGGGTGAAATTTTGAGGAGTGGTTCCATTGTTGACAACCCTAGGAAGTGGATCTAGAACAGGAGGTATCTCTGCAGAGACAAAATTCAGTGAATAATTCATTTAAGCATTAAAAAAAAACTATTGAAGTAGATTCTTAGTCATCAACTGAAAATTTATCTCAAAGCGGTGACAGATTACGACACAACTTAAAATCAAAGAGGATTAGCAGCGGATTGCTAAGAGTAGAACAATGCATACTATTCAATAAAAGCAATCAATCATATGTTGTATAGCACATTTCCACTAATTATTACCACAGCATAGTCCCAATCCCAGTAGTCTGCGCCTTCGTAAGCTCACCATGGTTGATTTCAACTTGATTATTGAAGCACAACACTCACTTGGCAGCCTTTTTCATGCATCCCCTGTTCCTTGGACAAATCAAGTAGACCAATTATAATTAAAAGTAAATTAATATTACAATTTCAAACGGGGTACGACTTAACAATTAAAATGTCAACAAAAGGATTATATCTGTTACATTGCACAAACACCACATATACATGTGAGAACAAGTAAATGAAAACACAATGGCAGTAACAGCATTGAAGGGCAAAGAATTTCAGAACAGAATATTTAACAGACACCATCGAAATTTCTTAAGCTATGTGACTGAAGATTAAGGCACTTCTGAAGAAACTGCTACAATACCATTTATAAGTTATAAAGGATAAAAACCACCAAGTCATTATACGATCTAAGATTATATTTTTCCGATTTCTATTCGCTGCAACAGAAAATTATTCCAACAAAGCCATAAGGAACTCATAACTCTAACCATAACAGGTACACATGAACTTCCCCTGATATTTACTTAAACACCTTGTGTAACTTTGATAAAATTGAGCACCGAGCAGAGAAACAGTGCTGTTGTTGCTTGTACACCCGAAAACAGTCTCGAGTCGGATTAGAACACATCGAAATCAATAGAGGCAAGCAAAGTTCATCCATTACATGACTACAACATCTCTCTTTCAGGCATCCTTTTGTTCAGAATTGCAGTAATTGGTGCAAGGTGACAACAACAGACTCAGTCCTATTTAAGTTGCAAACAGAAAACCAAATCATCCATCATGCAGGACGAATTAAAATCGAAAGAAAACCAAGAAAATCACCAAAAAATGGATAGAAATTCCCAATGTCTGATCTTTGAAAGCTAAGTCAACACACCAACCTACCACCTTTCATGAAAATTTCATCACCAAAAAAACAAAACCCAAAAACCAAAATTCAAAAACAAACACAAAACATACGCTCACACACCAAAATCAGGAACAACCCAAAAACCCCAAACGAAAAAAATAGCCTCCTTTGGCTCCAAGCTCATCAACCCAACACGCCCATGACCATTAACTCAGTCAAGAAGCCATGAAAACACAACCCATTAGGCAAAAAGACGAAAGTGGCCATTGGGAATGAGAAAGGCAGCTCCTTTTTACCTGAGGAGGCAGAAGAGGTGGCGGTTCTTGGAGCTGTAAGAGAGGCAGCGGAGAATCAGAGGCAGCAGTAAATTTAATTAAATTCCCCCGATAAGGAAAAGAAAAAGGATTGGGGTTTTAAAGGAAGGGAAGGTGGTGAGCGAAGAAAGAGAGATTTTGTGTGTGTAATTGTGTATAATTGTATTTGTGTCTCATGCATCTACCGCCTTTTGTTTTTATATCCCCGATTTTTTTGTTTTTTTTAACACTTATTCATTACTATGGTAAATAGTCAGTTGTCCATTATTTTTGTTTTTTGATTGTTTTTAAGAGGAGAGGGTAGTGGTGAGACTGGTGGCCGTATTTAGGTGTAAGACTGAAGTAGTAGTAGTCGTAGCAATATTTGTGTATACTTTAATTTAGGGTCATAATTCCACTTTTGCCCCCTTTGACATTGATTGGTACGATGGTTGGGTACTTTGGTTGGTTAACAGTAATATTAGAGATGCTATGAGTTGACCATTATACCCATTAATAATTTCTGGTTTGGGGTCATGGGTTGATGAATCCCAATCAAGCTTACGCTTGTTGTGGTTATAAGCTGAAAAAGGGTTTTCTTCTACATTTTTTCTTCTTTTGGGTAATATTTGTTCTAAAAGTTGTTGAAACCTATGTAGTAGATAACAAAGTGAGAACTATATCATATGTATTTGGTTAATTAAGGTAAGGTAAGGCAAGGTAAGAATGGTGCTATCCACATATATTTTCTTACTTTTTTCACATTTCTCTCAGTTTTCAGACGTCGGACCAAATAAACTGTAGGTATGAGAGGATTACTGTCCGATCCACATGGACAAATGATTGATTTATGTATTTAAAATAATTTACGTGAAAGACTGTCTTTAACAGAATATATTATTTCTTGTTATGGAACTTGAAAAGGACATTATATGGACTGGATTAAAGGGGTTGGTCATCCTAAAATTAGAATTCATTTCTTGTCGCAAATATTCACCTGTAGCATATCATATCTCAATATATTGGCGTAATTTTTCTACCGCGTGTACATTTCCATATTCGATCTAAATAAGATAAAGAACATAAATTAACAAGAGTATGTAGTAGGTAAAAGGAGGTGTGTGGATAACATCACTCTTAAAATAAAAACCCTTAATATGAAGGGTAAAGCCTTCCTTTTAACTTTGACCAATAAACATATATTCTTTTTTGTCCTTTTGTATGACTCGGGGTTTTTCTTTCTTTGTCGAAACAATTAGGACATAACAAGGTGATATATAATCGACAATCATGTTATCCATTTCAAGTGACAACATAATGTTTACTAACATGAAATACAAATGAAAGAATTGAATTTCATCCCATTTTTAGGCGATCTCATTGTTTATTGACACGTTGAGGAATTAGAACAAAAATGGGGCCCACACGAAATCAAGAATCCGACGCTTAATTAATTGGATCATGAGAGTCCTGTATAGGGTTGGTATTGTGACTCATAACTTTATTGAATAACTTGTACATGTTTCTTGCTTTATTAGGAGTATTGTAAGACATGAATTAATACAGAAAATTGTGATCCCCAAATCCCAACCTCATTAGATCAATGTTGAAAAATATCTCAAGATCGAACCTCTTATGATTTGTGATGAAAAAGTTGAAAGACCCTATGTCACTGAGGTCACTTATCTAATACATTATGCCTTGTTTGTTGTTTAGGGCTGGATTGAATTGATTAACTCACTAAACACAATACATGTTGATGTAATAGATGGATGTTGACATTCAAATACTGTCCAAATTGACGATACAAGATGGATTCATTTTAATCCCATCAAAGTAGAGTGATAAGCTTTCTTTGTGATCACAAACACCAAACAAGTCCTTAGTATGGAGAATAGAAGGGGATCCACCCCAACAACAACCATATATTCTTAAAAAAGAGACGATGATTGGTGACGTTTGCAATCTTATGCCATTCATTTTTCTCTCATAAACCTTGCCCAAGAGCGTCGAAGTAAAAACTGAACAATAAAGGGTAATCCCGTCATCCCAACAGAAATTCCGAGTGCCGTGCTCAAGAGATAACGCAACAGTGCGAGGGGCAAAGGGGTAAATCAGTAATAAGGGAGAGCGAAGGGCGGACAAAGGTGGGGTTAGAAAATTACTGTTAGTGTTGGGTTGGTTGGCTGGCAGCTAGCGATGGCCACCGACGAAACGGTGATTGGGGGGGACGGCCTGCCAAATGAGAAGGTAGATAATGTCCTGCCAACCGCACCCCTAATTCCAAACTTCTACAAATCAAATTTTTTTAAGAACCAAAAAGTTATACTGTAAAATCTCTCTGAAGTCATAAAAAATTTCAATTCCAACTTGTACTAGTTATTATATTGCAATAAATTTTATATTGTAATAAGTTATTTTTCTTGATTTTGTCTGAAGAAAACACGTTTCAACATAGTTAAAATTGTCAATGAATATGAAGATATGAAAAAAAAAAATTTTTGATGCTCAAGGAATCCTATTTAGAAAATAAAACATTCATTAAGGATAAATAAGTCAATAAATAATGATTTATAACTAGAACTCCATTAAGTAATAACTTCCCTAAAATTATAACGGTATAATTTTTTTACTATATTTTATGCCTAATTATTGCCGTAATGTGTAATCAATGTGTTTAATCAAACCAACATATTGTTGCACACGACTGGGTCCTCCCTTGAACTTTGTAGCGATCATCAACATTATTAATGGAGGAAGGACTTACATGAAACATGAGCGTTAAAGTGGTACTATCTCGAATTAATTATGAGACAATTTTTAGAAAAAAAATAAAACACATCACGACAAGTGATAGATTTGGAACACCATCTCATGTAATCTCTAAAAGTGACATTACTGAGATAATTCGTGGAAGAGTTGATAAATGTATTTGGCATATTACAATTTCTTCCCATAATAATGCTCTTGGAGTCGGAGAAACAAAGTTTTCCGTTGAAGTTAGATAGAATACTAAAGAAAAATTTATACAGCATGTATGAGGACACCACCATGATATTTTGTGTCATGAATAGAGATGCGTAAATTTTATTTTCAAATTTCTTTATTTTATTAGCACGGAATACCACATAGTGGTATACTTGTATTATGTAAGTTGTGACTTGATTTAGCATGTACTTGACGTCCTTTTTAAGGCATTTTTAGAAGGTCAAAATGAAGCATTTGGGCCCAATATACCTAGTTGTCCTTTATTACTTCTTTGAGGTATTTCATCAAACATCGTGCTCCAATATTAACATGCTCATTAATAACTTTATATTTGAGCATGTGCAATTGCATAGACCAACTCTATGGTGACTCCGTTAGTGATTCCGACCAACTTTCACTAAATAACCAACTAGGGACTCGATTACACATGTTAGTCAACTACTTATTAGTCTCAAATTAAAAGGATTAAGATAAAAATTAGGCCAAACTACACTAATTCAAATGTTGCACACAATGTACTAAAAAAATATGAATGAGGATCCTCTTCGGATCCTTTTTGTAAGGATCTCGGGAATCCTCGAATCGTATCTGTTCATTGTACATCGTAAGGTCAGAAATTATTTTAAATATTTTTATTTAAAATTAAATATGAATATCACCTGACGAAAACTGATCACGAAAATCCTTAAAATCCTTACAAAAAGTATTCAAAGAGAATCCTCATTCAAAAAATATCGGTTGAGTCACTCTAGTAGTTGAGCATTTTCTACTTTACATTGTTCATAGATGCCCTGGTGGCGAATTTTGGTCCTTTGCGTTATGTGGCCCACTCTATCTCGGACGCATGAAATCACATGCCACATATAACATGATAGCCACATATTGGCCGTCCGATAGCATGGCTGCGTATTAGAGTCTAGTAAAATCATATGCATGTTTTCAGCAAACAAAACAAGATCTCCGATCGTCTGAATATTTCATGATGTGATGATCATAAAGGCAAGCTAGCATTGGAAAGTAGGTGTAGTCGGCACTTTACATACAAGGTTTTGATATGAAAAAGTAATAGATTGCATACACTCTTATGTACGTTTATTTTGTTAGGTAAGACATATCCAACAACATAAAAAACATAAACTGTTACAAGTACTAGCAAGATAATCAATTATTTGTGACAAATATTTACGTTCAAACTATAAGAAATTGACCACAATGTGTTTAGGATTGGTGTATATGAATTGGATCACTAGTTTTAATGTACGTGGAGCAAGAATGAACAACTTCCAAATCATGTTCCAAGTTGAAGTTAGAAGATGAACAATTTACTTAAGTGTATTTATGTGTGGAAAAAGGACTCTTAGTAGGGAAGTAATTTATACACTCTTTTTCACCTTTTGTACACTCCCTCTTATTTTGGTTCTTAATTTTTATTGTTATACGACTCAATTCCCACATTTGATATAGCTGGCTAACTTCGTTAATGCTTTTTATCGAGCATAATGATGCAAATTGGGTTTTAATGACTTCTAATGTGCAACGTTAAACAATTTTGCTTTCTCAATCTAAATAGTGTATTGTTGGAAGAAGTTGATCTGTATCATCTTGAATTTGTTGCTTTGTTGAATCCCATCGCTAAAAAGAAGAGAGTAGAACAAGTGAAAATGTGTGTGCATAAATAATTTCTCTTTAAGAAACACCTGCCAAGCAAGAAATTGGGCTTCTCTTTATTATCCAAAAGTAGTTGGGCTTTTCTCTTTATGTCAGATAATTGGTCCATTGATAATACAATGTTGATGCGGGTACCCGATTAACAAAGTCAGCCCACCAACTTTCACACTATAAAAAACCGCCATACCGCAGTCTAATCGAAGGTTGTAGAAGCCAAACGACTTAGAGAGGAAATTAGGGTTAGGGTTTTTTCAATCGTCAGTACCTAATCAGCTAAGCAGAGTAATCGCGACAATGATTTACGACGTCAACTCACCACTCTTCCGATCCTTCCTCAGCCAGAAGGGCGGCTCCTCCGATAAGAGGTTTCCCTTTTCCTCAATCTCTCTCTCTCTGTCTCTCTATGCTTTTCGGGTTTATCTTTATTGTTCCTTTCGTGAGAAATTGGGGTTTTTGTTTTGATTTTGGCATTCTTATTTTGTTGAAGTCAAATTGATGAAAAGACTACAATTTGTTGGGGTTTCAATCAACCCAAGGAATAAGAAATTTTGTTCAATTTCATGCATTCTGTTCCTTCTTCTGTGGGTGCTTCTTTTTAGCTATCCCAGCTGAGTTTGTGCTCGACTTTGTATGTCAATTGTGTGTTCTATAAAAAAAAATTTGTTTTTGTGTTATATCTGTGGATGGGGAGTTGATGCTTCATTCATGGGTTTTCCTTAGCAGTCTTGTTTCGTCGAACTTTAGCATCGGCTGGCATTACTAAACTCAATTTCACATTTGGGTTAATTATAACACTTGGTTTTATTCATAAAGTATACACATAATCTGTCGAGTGCAAGGTTTTGTGTATATAAGGAGCATTTACGCTACATGTGATGGTTACATGTCTAATGGGTTGCTAGTTGTTAAGGTGCAGCTCTCCTTTGTTCTTTTCGCTCATATAGTCGCCCAACATTACCTGTTGAGAGTCAAGTGTCAACTATGCCATTAGCTTTGACACAAACTTGTTCGTTAACTGCACTAGTGTATCTCATTTTACTTAATTGGAGCTGTCTTGAATAATCCCCTTTGGATACTATTAAACGTTTATTATGTTAATTTTTGGAAAGGTGTATTATCTAATAAGAAAGAAGGGGGTGGAAATTTCTTGATGAATGCTTCTGAAGGGTGTAACAGCTTTCAGTAACGTGCCTCCCATTTATATAGTTATTTTTTGTGTTCCTTCAGTTCTTGCTGTGCTCCTTGAAACTTTAATATGTAGAATTGCATACGCTATTATGCTCTGTCAGTTTTTTTCTATTCGGTGCACTACCTTTTACCATGTTTCTTTTTTCCTTTCCTGTTGTGGCAATGGGTTTGTTTTCTTGAGATGCGGCCTAACTATTGTTTTTATTTTGTTGGAACTACAGGAAGTTGGAAGAGCAGAAGCCCAAGGAGCATCGACCAAAGGCCAGTGAGAATAAGCCTGTTATGAATGAGTGACAACAGATTGACATGTTAAGCCATGGATTGGTTTAGGATCCTTTGTGTTGTTAAGTAGATGAGTACTATGTGTTTAAGACAAGCTTATCGCTATGCATTGGCTTTTCAGTAACTTTGTGAGCTACGATTTCCAGTTATAATTTACACTCGTTTGTTTAGAATTGATGTTTTCGAGCTTTATGTTGACTGCCTTGTCCTGCATTTGTGCTTTTGTTATCCTGGTTGAGAATGTGACTGGATTTAGAAAGGATGAAGGTCTTAACTACACCGGTTGTTGTGGTATCTGAAACCAATAACGTGATTAATTTGAAATACTGCCACAATGGTGTACACCATTGGTTTGAGAACATAAGTTTATAAGAATTGAATGGTCTATGGTTATTTTTTCCCTGATATACCTTGTTAATGTGCTTTGCTATAATTTGATTGATGCTTATACAATGTTCAACAATCACGATTAGAAATCTGTGGAGAGAAGCAAATGCTTTTCGTCACATGGATTCAATCTCCGTCATTTGAGATGCATACGGATCACCCAGACCCAGAGAGAGATGACCGGAAAACTCAGTAAAACAAGCTAGGAATGGGATTCCTGGACCGCCCGTTAAGAAAAATAAGAACAAAACAAGCCATCGAGTGGAGAAAGTTAGTACCTTTGCTATTGAGGAGGCAGAGTTAGGGAATGGGCATGTGATGAGCCTTGAGAATTTAGTATAGACCATCACTTGTATGAAAGTATCAGAAAGTTTTGTCACGTTGGATCTTGCGAGGCTACAATTGCGAATCAAACGTACGTACGGTTGTCACTTCAGAGCATAGTGACACAACACATATACTGATAACATACAAGAAGTTATCAAACAATCTCATATTAAATGCACATGCATTAGTTTCATAAAATCTTTATAAACACAAAACTAGTTCTGCCCATGCAGAACACTTCCGTAAAACCCAATTAATCCCAAAGAATCCAACCCATTGACATCCATACAGTCCGAATTATTAATGTATCCGTTAGCACCTTCATCTATCGTGCCCCGATCTTCCCCGTCTATCACCACGAGTCATGCTCTTTCTTTATTTATTTAGGGTCATTTGATAACCATTTCATTATTAGTGAAAATTGAAAACGGCAGTCAAATGGAGGCGTGAAAGCAAGATGCCAATGGAATGGTCAGCCGGACAGAGGCTGGGGTTGCTTCCTCCCCACCTTGTCCTTCCTTGTGTGTTGGAGATATAAAGCGAGTGCACTAGGAAAGAATGGGAACTGGGTCGATCTATTCTATGACGAAGCATCCAAAGCATAATTGCACACTCGCACGATCTTTGTTGAGAGATAGGAGCATTCAATGGAACCATTGAACGTAAATACTTTCAATTTTCAATTTTCAAAAATTGAAAACTGAAAAAAATAAAAAAAATAAAAAAAGAGTGAAAACTAAACCGAAAGTAAATACCAACCAACCAAAAAATCAAAACGAAATGGTTAAACGACCCTTATTAATTGAAAACTAAAAACTGAAAATAGTTCCGAAACAACCAAAAACTCAAAACGAAATGGTTAAACGCCCTTATTGTTAATCAAATTTTTTTGATCAAACGATAGATTTTGTTAGATTAGATGTTAGATTAGCCACCAACGAGGTTCGAACCTACGTCGTTATGCAAGGGTTGAACTCATTTTCACCACTGTGGTAAAGGACCACTTGCCTTATTGTTAATCACTTTGATTTCTCCCTTAATTGTATGAGTCGACCTTTCTTAGTCACATTGTCTCTGTATAAGCATTGGGTTTAGTCATATGTTTAGCTATTTGCGTTTGAAACGTCTTTCATGAAATCATGGGAAAGTTGATTTTTGTTTTCTCTGGACAAAGTCACAATCTAGCAATGGACCATTATATCGAAACTGATGTTACAGAAAGATTAATATACACAGTACAAGAAAACGGGGCTTCAGCGACGATGGCAAAGCGTCATTGAATACTACAAATTCGTCACATAATAGTTTATGTGACGAATTTCGGTCGTCACAAGGCTCATCACCTATGTGACGTCACCGATAATATATGTGACGAATTAGTGATTCGTCACCTATTCTTAGTATACATGATGCCCGATTCTTCACATATTTTCAAGCCCAAATATGTGATGAATAGGTATATCATCACATGCTCCTCTAAATTATTTATATTATATTTTAATCGATTTATTCTTTTACATTTTATCATTTTAGAAATTAAACTAGCATTTCAGCTTAATGTAATTCTGTAAATGGCAAGTACATACTATGAAACCCAATGAAAAAAAATTCTTATAATTCAAATATGGGTAGTTTTTACATTAACATGTCCACAATAACCTACAATACATCCCAATTGTAGCTTGAAAAAGATAATATCATAACTAAAAATATTGAATTGGAGTTGTCTGCTACAAAATAGGTATCATCAATAATAGGCAACGTAGAAGAAACTAGCCCTTTGAATAGGTTCAATCTTTAAAGCTCCAGCTACATCACCACTTTTCATTTTGTAATCCATTCCAGTAGACATATCAAGAACTGTTTCACTCAAACAAAACCGTTAGGTAACCCACATGTTGTTCAAACGCATAACTTAAAGAAAACATTATAGCAAGAAAAAAAGTGTTGATACACAAGATATATCCCTTCTACAGTACACTTGACCAAAAGGTATACATATTAACACCTATTTATGTTATTAAACCACTTTACCGGTATATATTTGTAACCAGTGGCGGATCCAGGATTTTAACATAGGATGGTTCTAATATAAAAGTTCCAGAAAAAAAAAATGAAAATAACATTGAAAAATAAATGGCAAACTACAACTTCGACAAAAAAAAAAAAAAAAAAAACACTGTAACACAGTTCAAGTAATATCAGAAAATCCTAACGAATGAACAATAAATATGTATGAACTAACACTAAAATAGATATGAAAAAATCCTAAGAAATTAACAATGAATAAGGCTGAACTTAGTTTAAAACTCATTAGTGTGTGATTGTTTGATTTTTTTTATCAAAAATCCTTACCAAAAACCATTATCAAAGACCTTTACATATATGTATTCACTGTTCAGCCTTTTGTTTTTAATTAGTGTTCTTAAAAAATAAAATAAAAAACTAAAACTAAAAATCCTAACAAATTAACAATAAATATGGATGAACTAACACTAAACTAGAAAACTTACAAAAATTCTGAAATTGCTGTTGATGGCCTTCGTTGACTTGGGTGGCGTGAGGAATAAGAGCGGCAGGCAATTAGGTATATTATATTTGATAAAGTTGAATTTGATATAAGATGTTTGGGTGGCGTGGGGAATAGAAAGCAGACTAATGAAAAGCCATGGCTTTTATTAAATTTCAAATTGTTTGATTTTTTAATAAAAGATGGTGAGTTGAGTGCTATCACGTGGGTTTTAAATTTTTTTTAATGACTTGGCTCAAAACGACATTGTTTTGGCCTCATTTAAAAAAAAAACCTTTCTTCTTCCTTCTTCATTTTTGCATAGTGCCTGCTGCTCTTCTCTACCACCGCCCAGACTTGGGCGGTCCTAGGAGGCTCTCATAGCCATTTATCCGAGCTTTCAGGTGGTCCCAAGACCACCATGGTCCTTTAGTAAATCCGCCCCTATTTGTAACAACACCTTGAAATACCCTGATTGACCCGGCAAAAGATAGAAATGGATTCACACAAGTTATTTGTTGGCCAAGCTAGTTGGACCTTTTTTTCCATATTAGTGGACCTAACCAAACACAAAGAAACCATTCTTGAAAAACAGTGAGACCCAAATATTCAAATTCCAAATGACGACTAATTTATATATAAAGCAAAGCAAATAGACATAGTAAGAAACAAGAATCCCAACTAAAATCTCAAACAAAAATCCATCACAACAAAAGAGAATACAACACGCACACAATTACTCATATGAGCTAACAAAAGGGTTAGAAGTCAAGCAACCAAGTACCAACCTGTAATTGAAAATTAATATAAAAAAATGAGTTAACCAAACATCCGAAATGATCCAAATGTAGATTCCCAAAAAACACAAGAAATAAAAATATTGAAGTATATTACAAAACTCTACTAATCTACACTAGTGAAGGGAGAAGGGTTTGAACTTGAGATGCAGTTGGTTGACTAAGAATGTCAGGGCAATCCATCACTCATTATTGCCTCTTTGTTTCTTTTTTCTTTCTCTTACATGAAGAAAGTTGAAGTTGCACTCCAAAACTAATTGAAAATAGACCAAACTTTTCTCATAAAACAAGATTTAACTTTCCAATGTTAGATAGCACCACACAACATTGATTTAACTTTCCAATGTTAGATAGCACCACACAACATTTTTCCCTTTCTAAATCACGACCTAAAAAAAACTTACCTCACATGCATTCTATCATGTCCTTTTTAAAAAAGAAAAAAATTACTATTATTAAGGAGTGAGGGAAGAATTCGAAACTATTACATTAATTGAGAGAAAGGGAGAGTTTCGAACCGAGACACATAAGTAGAAATTCAACACCCAATCCAATAGGAATTAATAATTTAGAATTGAGGTTAGGTATCGAATAGCGAGTTGAATTAAGTTAGGACAAGTCAGATTCAACCTACTAAAATTGAACCATATACCACTAGTATTGTAGGATAAGTGTTAGGTTATATGGTCATCTTTTCCGATGGACCCTTTGCCTATGAATTATTCTCAAATGTCACATTTCACCGTATATATTGTTATCTTTCTTTTTCATAGCACGTCAAAATTGATAATTAAAAAAATCTACCTTAACGGCCAAATTTGTGACACATGAACAATTATGCACAAAAAACAAGAAAAAAAAAAAGAAAAAAAATATACGAGACAAAAGGGACTGGACAAAATAAGAACACATATATATTAGGGAGACTTTAGATGCAGTCTTTGACTATCAATATTCTTTGATTGAAACCTTATTGGTTTTCAATTTTTGATCGAAGTCTCTGAAATGACATGGTTTTCAATTTTTGATCGAAGTCTTTGAAATGACATGGTTTTCAATTTTTGATTGAAGTCCCTGAAATTAATGTGATAATTTATTTCTTTGTATGTTACTATATTTTTTAAATAGAAAATTGAAATTTATAGTTGTTTAT